CCAGATGCATTTGAGATATCAAAAAAGTACTCCAGAGTGTTGTTCAGCATGGGGGTGAGTAGAAAATGAAGGCTAATCATGTTTTGGGTTTACTATTCCTTTAAGACTGCCATGAAAAGATCAGATCCAGGTCGCATATGGGCCAAAAAATCGGATTCTGGTCACTTCAGGTGTGAACGTAGCCTTACAGTCGCCGCCCAATATACATGGAGCTTCAATTGCTGCCATTTTAGAATTAAATCATTAAAAAATTCTGGGCTATCCGAGTTTTGGCCGTATAAGGATACAAGTATTACCCTGTTTGTGTTTATTACACAATCTACCAAAATGATTCTGCGAGATCTGTCATTTTCTAAATAATTTAACTGAAATCTGAGGTATTTATTAAAAAGCAGGGCCACACCTCTAGCTTTAGATGAAAATGTAGGAAAAAATACACGACCAACCTCATTCCTGCGCAAGTTTAAATGTTCTATATCTGTGAGATGGGTCTCCTGAATAAAGCTTTGTTTCTTAAAGTATGTTAGAACTTTCCTTCTTTTTTAATAGGGTTGTTAATCTCTCTAACATTCAATGAAATGCAGTTTACAGCAGGAGTTCCCTGAATATTTCCTCTGCTGCTCATCGGCCCTGAAGTCACGGCATTCACCGCTGTGTGTTCAGTTCCTCGCTGCCGTTATCGTAGCAAAGATGTTATGTGGAGGAACATTTGCTTCACTCTCATTGAGAGTTCTCTCTGCTTTGGTTCTTTTGCAGCAGTTCGCTCTCCTCTGCAGAAGCAGCAGTCGCTCCCAGTCCGTCCCATCATCCCACTGGTGGCTCGCATCTCCGATCAGAACGCCTCGGGGGCTCCGCCCATGACGGTGCGGGAGAAAAGCCGGCTGGATAAGTTCAAGCAGCTGCTGGCCAGTCCCAACACCGACCTAGGTAGGGCTGCTCGGTGGCGCCCCTGCTGGCCGACTGAACAACACTAAAACCAATCCAGATAAAGTCTTACAAATGGTTCTGCTTAGTCAGGTTATATTTAACCTTTAAACAAGTTAACTAACCTCCCATCTCAGCCATCCAGGCAGCAGGAACTGGAGGTCTGTTTTTTAAAAAATGGCTTCTTAGCAGCCTCCAGAATACGGCTGTGGTTCCTGCTGTTTCTACAGTAGATCTCCCGTAGAACCGAATCAGACAGAATAAATGTCTTCCTCTGGGTGGGAAAGTCTAATGATGGAGAAGATCAGTTGGTGTAGCACGGGGTCAAAGCTAACCCCCTCCTCTAACATTCAGCTGCTCTCTGTTTCACAGAAGAACTGCGGAAACACAGCTGGTCAGGAATACCCAGAGAAGTCCGGCCAATCACGTGGAGACTCCTCTCCGTAAGGATCCTGACCTCCGGTCTAACAGGATTACATCACTCCTATAAAGCTACATCCAGCAGCTGGTTTTCACTCCTCTCTCCTGCTCCTTTCAGGGATACCTGCCAGCCAACAAGGAGCGCAGGGAGCTGGTTCTGACAAGAAAGCGAGAAGAATACTTTGGATTCATAGAGCAGTATTACCACTCCAGAACAGACGAGCACTATAAAGACACCTACAGACAGGTATGTTCTCCTCTGAGTGCTGAGAAGGCAGCAGATTACAGCTGTGAACCATTCTCTGCTCTGCTTTTCTGTTCCCATCAGATCCACATCGACATTCCCAGAACCAACCCCCTCATTCCGCTGTTCCAGCAGCCGGCGGTCCAAGAGGTGAGATGCTGTAGAAATGCAGCAGCTTTAATGCTGGGGAG